GCTCCGTATCCCCCAGCCCTCATCTTCCAGGGCAGGGCAGAGGCAGAGCGCAGCACAGCCTGTGTGGGGAACACAGCACTGAGGCACAGCTATTCCTGCCTCTAAGCTTGGAGGCAACAGCACTCTCCAATACCCCAGGAAGCCGAATCACGTCGGTAACACCTGGACCAACCATTGGTTACACCCTTGATTAAGGGCTGAAAGAAAGCTACTTGCAAAGAGGTTCAGCACTCTTCTGAACATAGCCTGAGCCTTTGGGCTGCCCGCCCCTTCTGACAGCAGTACAGGGTGGCTGTTGACAATGGAGGCAGCTGCAGCCTGAAAACCTGGTGGAGACCATTCAAGAGTAGTCATAGAAGGAAACGGGCTACATCACACACGACTCAAATCCAACTGAACCGCCTTGTGACCCCAAAGCAATGCTAACACTCTGACTGCAGAAAGGGTAAAATCCTTCTGAGCCCCAAAAAGCCTAACCCTGACTGCGCAGGGCTGGATCTTCCCAAGACTCTCACTCTGAACAGCTGCCAAACCCAGGCTAATGGACTGGGTAAGCTCAAATTGCTCAAGACCTACCTTCCACTGGTTATCTGTTGGTGATAAATACTTCATGTATCAAACATAATAGAGGAGGAGCAAGTTTGGTGCTTCTGTGGATTTGTTGAAGGAAAGTACACAGAGTGGCACAGGGAACATCTCTTATCTTGAAATTTTGCAAGGAAGTGATTACAGAAGAGATAAACCTCAGAGACTGAGCTGCATTTTGTGTTGTAGTGAAGCTCCCCACCCTATGCTAGCAGAGGGCATTTCTGCCAGCGTCAGTGAGTAGTAAGCCCAGAGCCTACCCTCTGTACCCCACTGGCAGGGCTCACAGGGAGAGTGGACACACGTTGACACATGTGCAGGTCAAACTGCCTGCACCATGGCTTTGGTGGCCCTTCCGAGCTGTCAAAGGAGCTCATCACAAGGGGCATCACCCACGGCAGAGCAGAGAGGGCACTACCGCCCAGAGGAGAGGACACGGGGCTGAAGGGTACGTCAGACTGCACCAGACACCCCGCTCGCAGGCTGCCCTCGCAGCAGCTGGCCTTGCCATACGATCTCCCCTCCACCTCCAGCAGCCAGAGGCTGGAGCTGGAAGCGGTCCTGCCAGGCAAGTCATAGGAAGCCTCCCCCGGCCGAGCCAGCTGCAGCCATGGGAAGCGGCGGCACGGATTGCGTGCGAGGGGCCCGCAACGGGAGGAAAGCGCCAAGAGGCCAGGTACCTGGACAGAGCGGAGCAGAGGCGGCCGCGCTCCGTCCCGCAGCGCCCAGCGAGGCCGCTCCGTCCTCTCCCACCTCCCGTGGCCCCGCATCCCTTCGGCCCGCCGTGCGGGTCAGATGCGCGGCACGAGCGCGGGTCCAGCTCCGCCCCGCAGCGCCCGCGGGGATGGGACGGGGGGATGATGCACGGGGAGAGCCGCGGCTCACGCCGCGCACCCACGGCAGGGTCCGGCCGCAGCACTTACCCCACCATCCTCCCTCTGCCGCTTGGCTCCTTCGAGCGGGGCACGACCCGAGCTTTCAGCCCGCCGCCCTGCCGCTGGCGGGACGGGTCCTGCCTGTTCCTCTGCTCCGGGCCGGGACCGAGCCCCTCGTCGCCCGCCTGGCCCAGGGACGCGGGCAGCCGGCGGTGTGGACGCTGCCTCTGGCCGTCACCTCCGCTCGGGCTCCCCGCGGCGGCCGCGGAGCCGCGATCCACGTGGAGGGCGGCGGGGAGGGGCCGCGCCGGCGGGGGCGCTCCGTGCGCTGGGGCCAGGCTGTGCGCCGCGCCCGCCATCCCTACAGCAGCCCCACGACCCCGCGGCCGCGCGGCTCGCCCGCGCTCCGGCTCCAGCCCGGCCGCGGAGTCCGACCGGCACTCGGCGAAGCCCAGGAGGACGGCGAAGGTGAGCGGGAGGAGGCTGGCGGCGGCGCCCCGCATGGTGTCAGCCGGTAGCGGGGGCAGACGGGCTGCGCGGAGCGCTCAGCGCCCGACCGGCATCGTGCGGTGGCTGCGGGGCAGAGGGCACCGCTGGCTCTCCGCTCACCGCCCCATCCCGCGCCGGGGCTCAGCCGGGACCTGCCGCCCACCGGGGCCCGGGGCGCTGACAGCGGTGCCGAGGCAGGGGCGCGGGCTGCCGGGCGGACCGGAGGAGGAGGAAGAAGGGGAAAGCAGCCGGCCCCGCTTGCCGGGCTCCCAGAGAGCTCCCGCGCTCCTCAGGCAGCTCCGAGCACCTTCGCGCCTGCCTCTGGCACTGGCAGCGCCTGGAGGGGATGGAGGGTTTTATTTTTGGAAACCTCCCCCTTTTGTTTCTTTTTGATGCTGACATCCCCCCTCTCCAGAGGACACGGCTCGCCCCCCCTCCTTAGGAGAGGAGACATTCCAGCAACACCCACTTTGGCAAAGGGAAACAAACTACAACAGAGAAGCCTTAACCCCTGCCTGGCCGGGGAGACGGTCCGCCGCCTGCCCGAATGCCGGCGTGCGGTCCCGGAGCCCTCCATGCCGCCCGGCCTGCCGCCGGCTCCCGCAGCAGCTGGAAGCGCTCGGGGAAGGTGGAGCAGCCCCGGGTGTGCGGTGCACGGAGGAGGACACGCGGATACCCGAGGAATACCCCGCCGCCCCCCAGCATCTGGGGACTTGTGGAGCTCCATCACCACTACTAAGCCATCTCGCTGCTCTTGCTCGCATCTCACAGGAGAAGGGGACAGCAATGGGAAGAGCCTTATTTGCCATCCCACCCTGGCTACAGAGCTCTCGGATGCTCTTAAACCCAACTCTGGCTTTAGACTCTTCCTTGTATAGGTCCAGGCTAGAGAAGGACCCACCTAAAAGCTTCAGGTCCTTCAGCTAAGAGAGATCTTTTAGGAGACATCCCACCAACTTAGAGTGGATGTTCATCCTTCCCCCTATCTGTCTCTTCATGGGCACCTGGAGGTTGAGGGATAACTTCAAATGACTGCTCTATACACACTGAGAAATTCTGAGGGAAGAATAGGGCAAGGGAGAGTAGGGAGCCCAAATCTCATTTCAGCCACACACATCAGCTCAGCTCTGCCACATCTCTGCTGCTGTCTGCTGCTCTTGGCCATCTCCATCAGGGAGCGAAGCCTCCCAGAGGAGTGCAGGCTGTGTCAGTCCAGAAACAGGGTCTACCTGGGGTGAGTTCTTTCTGGCCTACTCCAGCATCTGTGAGCTTGATGGGTGGCTAAAGGCCTCTCGCTGCACCTCTGCGGGCCAGGAGGCAGAGGAGAGCACTGCAGGTACTCACAGGAAGCAGATGTACACTGGCATATGTCCCTGCCGCGGGTCGTACAGCCAGTAACATCTGTCAGCCTCTTTTCATCATGCCAAGCTCAGGCGGATGAAAGGTGCACCTCACTCAACATCCCAGCCCTGAGCGCTGAGCCTGGATGCCTGCGGGAGAACATGAGGAACTCAGTGTGCACAAAGAGTGATCCTTTGGGTGTGCCCTCACGTCTTCAGCAGCCCGCAGGGTAGGGGCACCTTCAGCCAGATGCTGCAGCTCAGCCGCTGGGTTGAAAAGGCAAATTGTCATATCAGCCCATGAATTTGTCTAATTTCTTTTGCCCCTTTTGATGCATGGGGTGGCTCCTACATAGAGCACTAGCTCTCCTCCTGTTCCTGCTGCTCCCCAGGCCCTTACAGCACCCTGTCCCACTGATGTTCCTCTTCTTTCAGCCTCTCCCACTGCAGGTGCTGTGTCCCCAGGCCCTCACCAAACCATCTGCTTCCCAAAAACTTCGTGGCAGAGGAGTCCAGCTCCCCCAGTACCTTGTCTCTGCACTCCTAAAGTCTCTCCCATTTGAAACCAGTGGCTCCTGCCCTTTGACTTTCAGGCCTCTCAGATCACGGCTCCCCCCTCCTCGGGATGGAAGCCCTGCTACTCACCCTCCAGGGTGCAAAAAAGCCGGGAAAGGAGCAGAAGCACAGGGAATTAAATCTCCCTAAAGCACACTGGATCTGGAGTGGAGCAGGACCCCAGCACACCCCGTCCAGCTGGGGTCCTGCAACCAGGGGAGAGGGAAGGTAACCTGACAGGTGAGCAAGTGCTACCGGAGCACCGGAGCTCAGTGCTTTCAGGCTTTGACATTGGCGCTGGCAACTGGCTTATGGGGCAGCAGTGTCAGAGGAAATACCAGCAGGTGCTTTGGCACTTCCTGCGACACCACCAGCTTGCCTGCCTGCCCTGCTGAGGGAGAGCCACTGCTTGGGCAGGAGCATGGCTCTGGATGCTGTGAGCAGTGCCCGATAACAGCCATGGCTCACTCCTTTGTTCTGAAAAAGAGGAATGTCCTTTCCATCCTCACCTAATTATTTTCTTATGCAGCAGTGGAAAGAATGCTTGTGCCTAAACCTGACACAAGAAAATTGGCAATGCCATAAACAAAGCTATAAACAAAGCAGCTGAGAGCCTGAGCAGTACTCAAAGCTAGAGCAGGCAACCCTGGGGCACAGCGCATTCCTCTTCCCTTGAGGTGCTGGGTCACCCCAGGGAAGAAGCGTGATCTTGACATCCCCAGGGGACCGCACCTCCACAGCAGCCTGAGCCCCAGCGGCGGTGGGACTGCAGGAGCCTGTGCAGCCCCTCGCAGGGCTGGGGAAAGAGATGTGCAAATCCAACAGCGCCATCGGCAGCCCTTCAGTACCTCTCCACCCGCCCCTGGCTTCTCTGGAGCCCGGCCCAGAGAACTGTCATCTCCTCTCCAATCAGCTTTGCAACTTGTTTACTGGAGCTGGACACTGAACTCCTTCCAGGCTCACACATGCAAACACTCCTCTGTTTTTGCAGGGGTGTGCAGCAACGTTTGACCCATGTAAGAGCAGTCGCTCTATGAGCTCCAGCCTTGCTACCTCAGGGCTGCCTGGCAAAAGGGGCTGCAGGCTTAGACTCCTGAACCAGAGTGTGTGTATCCTGCTGGGGGAATGGTTGCATCCCAGCGCAGGTGAGTGATGTGCAGATTCTTGTTCCTGGGCTCACTGCCTCCCATCTCAAAACCAGGCCTGTCAGAAAAGAAGCAGGGGGTGCATGGGGAGTCATAGCACAGGTTGGGTTTCAGTGTGCTGCTCAGTGGGGCTCAGCAGGAAAACATGAAATATCTCAGTCTCAGGAACTCACACAGGCACAGCACAGTCAGGCTGCTTGTCACCAAGAGCAAACCTGCACCTGGAAAGAGGGATCAGCAGTGGAGGGAAGAGGAGGCAGCAAGCTGGCAAGTGGGGTTCAACAGCCTGGCCCCCATCAGCAGGGAGCACAGGGCTCCTCCCAGGCAGTGAACTGCAGATGGGCAGCTCAAAGTGCTCCTTGCTGCCTTCACTTCCCCTTAATTCACCACACAAACTTTCAGGCAGCAGCAATGGTATCAGAGAAGAGACAGGGCAGACACAGCTGCAGCACCTCTCCCAGTCCATGCTTTCCAGGGCCAGGGCACCAACATGCGTGAGGCAGACCTGGGAGCCAGCACAGAAAGCAAAGGACTTGACAGACCTTGAAGAGACTAGGAGCAAGGGCAGGCTGTGCTGATGGTGTGGTCCTTCTCACTTGCCACCACTACAGAAGAGAAGGAGGGGTGCTTGGGCAGCTGAGGATTGAAGCCCTGGGGCCAGAGACAGAGGGTTGAAGGTGAGCTCTGCTCTGGAGAGATAATCACAAGTCATCTCTCATCTCTCTTCGAGTCCTCTCAAAGGCCAGGGAGAAAGGGCTCTTCAGGACTGTGCTGATGGAGGTCCCTCTGCACCAGGACCTCTCAAGCCATCATTCTCCTACGTGTTGAGTCCACACGAGCTCTGTAAGACCCCCTTGGGGTTGTAGCACCTGGGAGCCACATTTCCAGGGCCAGTTGGCCCACAGATGTGGCTGCTGGCACTGTATCCCTTAGATTAATTAGCCCCTTTTCTTCCTCTTCAGAAGGGTTCACAACCCACATGTGCTTCTTCCTCTGCTGTGAGCAGATCCCTAACGCGCTGCAGATGGAACACATTCCATAGATTCAGAAGCTGCCTACAGCTCCCGCAGAGGAAGAAGGAGTACTCCCCCCCTGCTTGGGGCTGAAGGGCAAGAGAAGGTTGGCCAGCCCCACTGACTTACAAAATCAGGGTGTGGAACCAGCCTTTTAGAGGTACAAGTCACAGCTTCCCAGGAAACGGCCATCTTGCACCAGGAGAGAGGACACAGCAGCCCTGGGGGGTCTGGATGGAGAAACTTGGAGGAACAGTGCAGAGAAACCTCTGGAGAGGACCTCTGTAACCATGGGCACCAGAGAGGCAGGAAAAGCAGTTTCTGAATTTGTGAACACAGCCAACAAATCCCCCATGGACAGCATTCCCACCCCCTGCCTTTGCTATGAGGTACACGCAGCTCGGCACACTCATAGCACCCAGGGAAGCAGACGTTCCCACTGGACAGATGAGCTGCTCCAAACAGACGCAGAGCCTGGCCCTCCAGCCACCTCCACCCACTCTTGGTGTGTCCCTCCAAGCCCTGGGGTCCATCCTGGCCCTCCCTATGAGGTGGCCAGCAGCAGGCAGCCAAGAGCCATGGGAGTGACAGATTGTTGTCAGAAAACAGAAGAGAAACCGTCCAGCAGCTCCTAGTCCAAAGCCAAGGTTTGCTGGTTTTATTGTTCCTTCGGCTTCCATTTAACCAGGATCATCTCTAAGATGGAGGAGGGAGGCACAGAATATCCAAGTGGGTGTCCCACAGTTGGACTCCTTGGTCGTGCTGTTCTCTAAGCGTATGTCTGTGCACCACCAAGGGCTGAGACCACATGCTGGAAAAAAGGTTTCAACAGGAGACGAAAACATGCCGCTAGGAAGAAGAAACCTGGAGAGCAAGACCAGATGTCAGAACCCAAGGGATGCGAGTGCAGAGTGAGGCAGAGAGGGGTTGCTGTGGGCTACTGCTGCAGAGAGGCTCTGGTGGGGCTGGCTGCAGAGCACAGCTGGTTCCTTATTTATCCATCACATTATTTCAAGCCCCTTCAGCAAATCTTCAGGAGGAAAACAAATCAGAACAAAAAACCTCAGCTAGGATGTGGCTCATGCAGAGCTCCAGCAGCTCAGGGGAACCTGTCCATTTGTAATTAATGAAGTCCTGCTTGCAGTGATCTGACTGCAACCTCCCCTCTCCCCAGGAGCCTGATCTGGCCTTGCTGCTGCTTTGATACCTGTGGCTGGAACTGCACGTGGCGGGGAGATGGGCCTGGAAACCAGGAAAGCCCAAGCGTCCCTGAGGAGCACAAAGGCTGCCCTGACCAAGAAACCCATTCCATCACACATTCCCTGTAGGAGCAAGCCTGCCCAGGGCCTAAACTTGATGGGGGGGCCTTCAACTGAAGCACTCATTTGTCAGCTGTCCTCGCTAAGGGAGGAAAGGAAAGAAGGAAGCACAGCTTCTTGCCATTTTTAAGGGCAATGACCCACAAAGAGGGAACACTCTCCCATGTGACGGGGTACTGTTGAGTGTAGAAAGGGCCCTGATAGTGTGAATTTCCATAACTTTCTATTCCCTTTTCTACTGGTGTCTTGACACCTGGAGGCTTTTCCCCGAAGTGGCCATTGAACAACAGCTTGTCACAGCCTGGAAGGGAAGCAGGAGCAATAGCTTGAGGATACAGAGGGAGTGGAGGCGCTCTCCTCAGTGGAAGGTCTCCTCTCCTGGTGTCTGGTACCACTTCACAGGCAGCACTTCCCAAGGACCCCACAACCTGCAGAAGAGAAAGATCTAGGCAAGATGACCCAATACAAGGGCAGAAGAAACCAGGACTGCCAAAGCAGCTTTTCCCGAGGAATCCCTCCCACACTGAACTTCTCAAAGGCACCCCATTTCCTTTGCCTTTTCTTAAACAGCAAAAAGACCAGAAAAAACAACCCTGAATCAAACTTTGAATTCTGCAGAGCATTTGGGATTAAAGCAATTGAATTTCTGATTCCAAAGCAGTCTTCCTAAAAAGCAACAACTGTAATTTCCTTCAAGCTGCTGTTGCTTCCTTAAGACCCTCACATTGGCTGCCTGGGGCATGGGGAATTTGGACTGGAAGTCCTTCAGCCTATCCATCAGCTTTGCATGTCAGAGGAAAACTGATGGCCACATAGATCCTGTTTGGGAATGATCGGTGGGGTTGATGTTATATCTGTATTTTATAGTTTGGTTACTCTGCCATCCTGAAATTGCAGGCCCATTCCCCATCACAGGATTTTAGGTGTTTTCCTACCACTTTTGGCCCTGGAATGGCTGTGTGAGCAGTGACCTCAGCTCATTACAATGCAGTGATTTCAAGTGGATGTTTAATAGCTTATTAATAAAAGTGAATCTTAGGGAACTGCAAAGAAGTGGCTATTACTAGGTGGCGTGTGTTAGAGCTAAAGTAGTCATCAAGCAATAGACTAGTTCATTGACACTTTACAGTCCCATTGGGTAATTACTAGGATTAGGCTGAGTACCCAATTTCCCACCTATGACTTCACAGGCTGGGAATGCAGCTCTCTGGTGACATCACAGCTCCAGCAGTCTCCCTCAGCAGTTGCCACACTGACTCTGCTGTCACCCACTCTACACATAGGTGTGGCACACAGCTTTAAGAGGGCTTCCACTCTTACAGGAAGTAAGAATAACAAGAAATGAGAGCTTAACGAGGACATAAACACAAGACAACTGCAGAGGAGATGAGCAAAGCCCCTTTCCATGCCTCGCTGCATCATTCTGAGAAGAGCAAAGAGCTTGGGATGGGGAAGCATACACTTCCCACCCAGACAGGGGCCATGCCAGGTGCAGAACAGAAATCCAGAACAGGATTATAGAGGTGGCACTCATGATTTTCCTGCCTCTCCCAGCACCGGGTTTGGAGCTCAGAGCAGCAGTAAGGACAACGTAAGCTGCCCTCTTTGCAGTGATTACCTCTGGCTCCATGCTGAGCTCTGGCATGCACTTTCAGACTATGCCTCTGCCTTCTCTCCTTTTCCCCTTCTCTCTCAGCCCAGCTGAGCAGGCAAGGCAGCCTCACACAGCCCAAGTGCACAGCAGTGCCAACAGCCCAAGTGCTTGCATGTGCTCCCCTGGGGCTGATGAGCCCTCACAGCAGGGGTGGTGGCTGAGAAGGCAGCTGGCATCACAGAGACCCTCTCCTTCCTCCCTCCTTCCCAGAGCCTGGCCCTGTGCATCCCTGAGCCAAGGGAAGCACGTCCTGGAGGGTGGCAGGGCTGTAGGAAGTAGGGATCTCCCATTGTCCCTGGGGAATATCCCCACAGGAGCAGCAACATTAGGCCAGAACTACCCGCTCTGAGGCTGTGCTGGCTAGGCTGGTCTACAAGCAGCTCCTACCACAGATAAGCAGGAGAAAGGCAGGCAGATGGGGTAGGGACCAGGAAGGGTACTTGCACAGCCAGGAGTGCAATCTGGGAGCAGGTGAAAATGAAGCAACAGCACCAGCTTGCCTTATGCCCACAAGAAGGGACAAGGGGATGCTGAATACATGGCCAGAGCCACCCCAGATATAGGAGGAAGTGGCCCCTGATTGGAGACTCCCCTCAGCATCACTTTGGTCTTCTTCCCTGTGAGGGGATGGCAGCAACAGGGCCCTTGGCTATCCTTTGTGCTGTCCTTGGCCGGAGTTACCTCTGCCTTGCTGCCCACTTTCAGCAAAGGTGGCTGCCCCTATGGCATGTTTTGTCTATCTTGTTGCTCTCAGTCAGACCCTGCTTCCTTGCAAGCTTGTCCAGCTCCGTGGGGGTTCTGGAGGGTATGAAAATCACCAACAAAGCTTTTAGGGTACACAAATCACCCAGTGGTACCAGTGGAGCTTAAATTCTATATGAGTAAGTTTCAGGGGGGTAGGAGAGTAGACCATCAGCGTGGTGCTCACCTCTGAGCCTGCAAGCACTGCTAAGGCAGTGTGGTACCAGCACCTCGTGTCCTGCCTCATCCCCAAGCTTCTTGCCAGCCTGCATCCAGGGTTGTCTGTCCTCCTTGCACCAGAGGGCTGGCGCCTGCCTCTCCCACCGGGCCTGCGCTTCTCCCCAGCACAGCCTTGGGGAGCCAGATGCAGGCCCAGCAGCAGGATACCTTCCTCTGCCTGGGGCAGAGGGTGCAGCTGCTTCCTTGAGCCAAAGGCACACATGGAGCTTGGCTCAAGGAAGCAGCTGCCCCATTTCCATTCCCCTGGCAATGCCGGTGGGGAATTGCTCTGACCTGCAGTGCCACAGAGCTGCTGGGAAGGTCAAAGGCAGCTATAGGAAACACCGCAGAGGCTGGTGGCCAGCCCTAGCCCTGGGCTTCCTCACCAGGACAGATCCAACCAAGGCTAAGGAGCACCCCATATAACCAGGACAGCTTCCAGTGCTGCTAAGCAGAGGCTGGGGGCTGAGGGATGTTCTGGCTTGCCCCTTTCCTCCCTCACAGTCTGACTCTGTGTTGCAGTGAACTACAGCTGACCTACAGCTCCCTGCCTCACCTGTCCCTACCCCAGTATCCATATCCTATATGGCACCAGCCCCTTGGCCCCTGCTCAGCTCAAGCCTCCAGCTGGCTTTGGGGCTGCTGCTAGAAGCATTACAGCACACCTGTTCTTCAGATGAGGGTTTATGGCCAAGGCTAGCACATCTGGATTGTAAAATAGACATTTGGAAGTTTATCAACATGTTTCCAAGCAGTCCGGGTATGGCAGAGGCTCTGTCTCGATGCTTTAGTGGAGGAAGCAGCTGGGCTGGAAGGCCAGTTTGGTGCCCTTCTCACGCCCTGTGCGGGCTGGGCTCAGCCCCACACACACGCGCACACCCCAGAACCTGAGCTGCCTTTTCCTGACACTAGTGGTCCAGGAAGCTGTGTCAGCAAGGCTCTAGAAGGGAAATGTGGAAATGAAATGCAGTGCCCTTCCCACCCCAGAACCCGCTGACACAGCTACACCAAGCCTACGCTTCAGCCAAACATCTCCAGAAACACTGCCTGCTCACAGAATTGGTCAGGAATCTGCTCCATATGTGCTGAGAGGGAATAACTGACTCCATCAGCTTGGTCTTGTGCAGAGCTCAGCCGCCAGCAGCCTCCAGGGCTTTTGCTCTCAGCAAAGTCCTGATCAGCAGCAGCATCAAGCTGCCTCTAATGGATTTGTCAGCACCAAGCAGATCTAAAGGAGGAACATGGCTTGTTGCCCTGAGCTGTTTCACGTGCGCAGCCCTTCTCATCGTATTAGTTTCTCAGATCTGCAGCTCTCACGCCCGTGCTAACAACAGACCTCCCACGTAAGCCTTCAGTAACATACTCTGATTTTGGTCTCTTCCCAGCCATCCTCCGCCAACAGAAACACAGCTGATGCTTATGGGTGTGAGTGACACAGAGGCAAGAGATACAGAACACCTATAAAGCTGATGGAGCAGGAGGTAACTGCCTCCAGCGTGCAGGAGAGCTTTGGTAACATGGTGGTGGCTGCTTCCCACAAGATCTTCAGATGGTCTAAGTTCAGAGCAGCTGATTAACAGTCTTCCTGATAGTCAAGCAAAGCAGTGCTAGATACAGATGGGCTCTCCAAACTGCTCCTCCTCTCATTCTTACCCCGCAACAGCCTGGCTGGCAGCTGCCAGTCTCCTTTCACCTCCTTCCATTTTGCTGGTCCACCTACAGGTGAAGGCAGTGCTCCTGTCCTGCAGTACTGATTGTCATGCTGTGCTCTCATCACCCTAAAGACAAAACACAGCACTGTACCAGCTACTAGAAATAAAAACAACTCTATCCCAGCCAAAACCACTGAAGGAGAAACCCCTCTAATCAAGTGGCTGAGCACTGCACAAATATCTACAGCGAAGGAGGCACAAAAGGAGACGATTTGCTCTCAAGACAGATCAATCTCTTCATTTCTCTGCAATGCAGTAGGCTATAAATGTTTTTATACTTCTCAGCCCTTTGGAGGCTTGGGCACACCTGGATTTTTCATCAGTTCCACCTGGGTCAATCTCTTCCCTATCTAATCCATGTGTTCTCAGGAATACTGAGCTACCTCTTTAGAGACACATTCACACTAATTCAAAGGGATTCCAAGCTTAGAGTATTTCAGTGGAGGAGGCTGGAGAGAGAGGAAGATATGGAGGCCTGGGGTAACACCAAACCTTCAAACACTGTACCTGCAGTGATGGAGATGCAAATGCATTTCTATGGCACTTTGCACTTGGCCAGATTCTTCATCCTTATGTGTCTGCTTCAAACTGTGGTGCTGGTGTCGCAGAGCTGCCCAAAATGTCCTCAAAGTAAGAGCAACCTTACCTAGGTGAACATAGGGAAGAGCATCAGCACAGAGACACCTGATAACTTGTAAACAGAGCCCAGGACAACAGAACCAGGGCACTGCCTCACAGTGCTGGTGCCGGACCCCCAGTTCAGACCTAGCACTGACACAAGCTTCTGTGAGCTCAGATGAACCACCTATCTTCAGCTCTCAATTACAAAGTGGAAAAGAGACCTCTCCACACACCCACTCTGTGTTTGCCCATATCCCTTGCTGGGCCCTCTGGCACTAGAGTTAGCCACAATGCATAAAACAGAGAACGTGCTGCAGGAGAAAACATCTGAATTGATGTGAGGGCTGTACACATGCCACTGCTAGGGAAAACATGTTTAGCTTCACCTAACATCACTGAGCACGTACATATTGTCTGAAGTCAGTGCCAGGACCGAGTTCGCTACTGGATACATCTTCCATGGGATCTGGAGAACCTGCAAAGGTGTTAGCAGCAATTCAGGGTGAGAGGCACTGCAAGACATGACAAAGGAAAACAGGTTGGAAAGTAAGGAAAGGAGATTCACAACTTCATTTGGATCAAGCAAAGTCCCCTCTTGCATTTGGATGTGCCAGTGGGACCATCTGCCCCTGCCATCCCAGATGGTGTATTTTTACTGACAGAGGAGGCAGCGTAGCTTTGCATTTCTCAGTAAATTGAGCCGGTCACCTCTAAGTTTCTAGGTCAGCGGGTCTGCTGTCTCTTCCTCCCCCTGGCACATAAATCTGACCCCCACCCCAGGCCCTCCTTCCCCGAGGCAGGCAGGTCCTGCCCATGACAGCCAGTGCTTTGTTCGGCGGCTGAGCCAACACTTCCTCCCGAGGGAGCATGTAACTCCACAGAGGCAAAGGTCAAGTGTACTCTTCTCAAAGCTGAGGATTTGCCTTTGCCACTTAATCCAGGCTGAGATCTCACAGCCGGCACAGAGCTGCTCCCGAGGCTGGGAACACAGCCTTTTGCAGGCAGATGAGGAGCGCGCCTGGGGCACAGATACAAGGGGAAAGACCAAACATATGCCCTTTGCCACAAGCCCTGGGGCACCAGCAAGGAGGCAGCCAGGAAAACAACCCCCCACCACATACTTCATCCCTGTTTTGTGAAATAACCCTGCCTTGTCCCCAGTAGTTGAGGCCTAATGCCAAAGTCGGCCAAGCGGCTGGTGGTGCCTAAGTTCCATTTACAGCTCTGCCTCCTTTACGGTGCAGTGGAAGCAAACCCGCTTCACCACCACAGTGTCCAGAGGCAGCAGCTCAGATGGTTTCCAACAGCATTCTGCTGTGCCCAGGAGGCACTCTGCAGGGCTCAGTCACAGCCCTGCAAGGAGCAGTGCGGGAAAGGGAACAGTGAAGGACCCCATCACTGGTTTCGCACTGGATGTGAGGAGGAAACAGGCTCCTATTGTCCTTGTCTCAGCCAGCCATGAGCCTCCTGGCTATGGCCAAGCAAGCAGGTGGCACTGACAGTGAAGAGCATCCACTGGTGCTCTCCCACACATCACAGACTGGCTAAGGTGGGATAGGACCTCTGGAGATGGTCCTGTCTAGGCCCCAGCTCAGGCCAGGATGCCTGATGCTGCTGGTTGGGTGTTTGAACCCCTCCGAGGATGGAGGCTCCACAGCCTTCCTGAGCAGCCTGCTCCATCATCATTCACCTTGATCATGCCTCTAGCACAGGTGGCCATCAGCCACCTTTGATGCAATGTATTCGGTCACTACCAGAGGAGGTGAGGGATGCCTCTCTTGGGGACATGACAGCTATGGACCTGCACAACATTCTTGGCTGTGCTTCCTGGCTCCAGTCCCCAAGGGGAGGCTTTCAAGCCCCATGTTACAGGGCCATGTTCCAGAAGCTAAGCCTGGAACAAAAGTGGGGTGTTCCCCTCACTCACATATCACCATGCAAACACACCACTAGTGGATCCAGCCTTTGCCATTTCCTTCCATTCTGTTCAAGACAACTGAAGAAGTATAGGGGGGGGAGGTGGGGAGCATCACTTGGCAGGAAGGCTTTCTTCTCTGAGTCTATTGCTTCTGAGATTGAGGAGGATTAACCCTGCAGACCCTCCATAAACACCAGGCTCCCCCATGGCCACCCCCACCACCAGGTGTGCAGTCAGCGTGGATCCACGAGGATCCTGGACCCACAAGCCTGTTTTCACAGATCTGTGCTGTTTTACCTCCCAGTGCTTTTCTGGTTCTCATTATCTCTGCAGAGCTGATGACTCTGAGACATTTCATCTCCCTGGAGGCTTTTTCTGGTGTGTTAAATCTGATTTATGCAACACAGCCATGGCTGTCCTGGTCACCCATGCTCACCTCTGGCTTGTTAACACCCTGGCTGGCCAAGGACACTTCCCAACCTGCCAGCAGATCTGAACCAGATTGCACCTCTGCACCCACCAGAGTTAAAGCCTTAGCAGCTTGCTCCTCCTATCCCTTTTCCTCTCATTCATCGCTGATCATTAATCACAGCAGCCTCTTTCCCCAAGGGACCTGCCTCCACAGACCCAGACCTGCCCCTGCAGCTGCCAGGGGAAGTCCCAGGGGCAGGCACCGAACAAGGGCAAACCAAATTAGCAGTTGTAAGGTAACACCCCCAATAACCTTAGCCTGATCATTAACCCCAGCTGCATGGAGGGCATCAGCAGCTCAGGGTCCCTCCCCAGGCCAGCGGGATGCTTCTGGCAGGGAAAGCGGCCTCTTCCCTAGCCTCCCGTCTTCTGCTCTTGATAGAAACCAGTTCAGAAACACAACAGTTTGGGATCTAAACAGCTATTAACACTTATCGCTGCCTGTCCCACGAGGCAATCCGAATCCAAAGTACAGCTATAACACATGTGTATCTGTTCACAACACCTCATTGGAGGAATTAAAGAGTGACAATGATACTGTACTTGGGACACAATGACAACTGCTTCCATCTAGCCAAACACGACCGAGGCCAAGGCTGGTCCAACCTACTAAATGGTGCTAGAGCGTCAGGCTGGGCATAGTACCAAACATTACAGTGGAGCCCCTCTACATGGCCCCTAGACATCTTTGCATTTGCAGGCCTGGCGACCTTTCCAAGCTTCTCTCCACCATCCTCCTATTTCATTTCAGGCTGCTTCTTGTTCTTTGCCCACACTGCCTGCACAAGCTATTTTGCAGGAGGAAGGGTCATCTCTCATAAGCCATCTGCATCATAACCTAACGCCAGACAGGGTGAACCACCTCTGCAAGGCAAACCTTGCACCTCTGTGTTGTACTTGGACACATCTGTTTTGCTGGTGCCTGTCTTTTGCCCAAGTCAACCACTGCTGTCACCTGAAGGGGAAGGGTGACAGTGCTATAATCTGGATACCTCACACATTCCCTCCGAGACCTTTGCAGTGCTTGCATCCAAGCAGGCCTGCTGGGTAGGAGGCTTGAATGAGGGCAGCTGGACAGGAGCCCTACAAGCCAGCGAGGCCTCTGCATACTGGCCACCAAATCTGCATCCGAAGCTGCTAACAAATGAGGTGAAGGAAATGTCTGGAACAGGGACCAGGTCTGGTCATGGTTTGAGTCCTGACTCCAGAGCAGCTGGTACCGCCTTGCAGGCGATGCACAGCTCAGCTATCCCAACCATTCTCCTGAGCTGAAACTTACTCCAGTGTGGGCCAAGCTTGCCAAATTCCTGAAGTCTGGTAAAGTTACAGGTGAGTGGAGGACCCTCTGCCCACATCCCCACACCCCCCCAAAGCAGACTTTATGAACCCACGGTGAAAGTGGAGGCGGAGTCAAGAAAGCCCAAAAGTGGTTTGCAGTGATTCACCACAACAGACACCCTCCCACCCCCAAACTCATAGGCCCCAAGACCCCAATAGCACAACATCTAGAGCACAAGTGCTCCTCAGCTCTCGCTGTGCTGTGAGCTCCCCTCATAACACCGGTGCCCCTTCCTACTTTGCTTGCAGAGCTGGGCAGGCTCTCTTCCAGCTGGATGCCATCCAGAGCCTCCACCAAGGTCCAGAGAAGGGAGTAGGAGGTGCTCCAAGGGGTGGGAGCAGAGACATGGAAGCCAAGGGTTAGGGTGGCAGTGGAAGAACCCAGTACCTTTGGTTGCTGGAGTGAGAGGTACCATGGCGTTTCTATTGCTACAGCTTTGGAGATTTTCCCATCTGCCTTCCCACCACCTGCTGAGGCGACTACAAGGGAGAAGAGGTTTGCAAGGGTCACTCTTGGGCCAGAGCAGATGGAAAGGACCTGCTGCAAGTGTTTTACTAGAGATGGCCAGACAGCTGCAACATGCCCCTCAGCCCTGCTGACGGCTCATGGATCATCCAGCACACAGAGAGTACCAGGACCGCAGGAGCTGGCTCACAACTCCACACGCTGCGTTGGAGGCTTGCATGCAATGACCAAGGGTCTGCAGCTGGGCAAAGGAGAGAATTAACAAGCTGCTGAAGTCCTTCATCAGACGCCTGAACAAACAGATGCTGCCAGGAGCTGGTCTCCCCCCTCCTGGGACCATGTTTCTGGTCAGAGAGGGTTTTCACAGCTCTCCCCGAAGGGGAGAACCAGCAGCACCTTTGCTACACAAAGCTCTGGGGCCTCTTCCTCCCCCTGCACCTTTGAACCAGCTCCAGACTTCTCAGCCCTGCAGGCCTCCAACCTGGACTGCTGCACACCTAATTAACTCCCTTGTTCATTTATGGTCTCTTGTCACTAAAGCACGTAATTGGTGCACAGAAGCAGCAGGTTCTTATGTGTATTCACATGGACCTGACTGCTCCTTTGGTGTACTGGGGAAGCCCTCAGCCCCTGCTGCAGCCAGCTGCTCCAGGATCACCTACAGAGAATGCTGCCTCCTTGTTTCCAGCAAGCTCCCCCAGTACCTCTCTGGCCATCACAGACATCAGGGTCTTCTAAGGGCATAACTCCTTTGAATTCAAGCAAGAAAGTTTGTCTGAACCACAGACTGCACCCTAACCACATCTGTCTCCCTTCGTGACACTGAGACACCCCATGGGGTGTCTCCTCACTCCCTTTTGTTTGTATGTTTGCACGCATGGTTTCTTCCCCCATTGGTACTCGCTCAGGTTTGCACACAGTCAGAGGGATGTACGAACATCACCCCACTGTTCTTTTATCCACCTTCCCTCCATGTTTCCTCTTAACCCCGGCAGCACAAGAATGGAGAACAGCGGAGAGTGGCAGGGTCCTTTCACAGGGGAAAACCCAGGCAGGAGGATCCCAGAGCTTCAAGACCAAATAAGCTCTTCAGGGTTTGGAAACCTCCCTTGCCTTTGTGCCTTGGCCTTCCAGGGTTGGGGGAAGGGATCCCAATGAACATGTTTGTGCTGCTCTTCTTAATAGGGTGTTGTGTAACACAGAGGGAAGTGACTACACCGGGGACCCCAGCTGAGAACAGAGATTTTAATCCTGATGCCCAGGGAAAACTTGGAAAAAATACCTACATCTGTTCTGTTGCATTAGGCTCATGGCTCGGAGGCTGACAGCTGACCCTGGCTGCTCATGATGCCAAGGTACGGCCCCTGCCAAACAGTGCCAGGGTAAATTACCATGACTGATTAGAAAGGCAAAAGGCAGCCAGAGAAAACTGAGGAGGGAGCTCTCCCTGTGAAGGTTTCTAATGAAGGGAGAAGGCCAAGCCAGAGCGCACCAGAGCACTTTGTCTTTTCCACTGCCACATGGGCAAACTGAGTGATAGTGGAAGAAAACAGGGCAGGGGATGAGATGCAGGGAGAGGGATGAAGGTGAGAAGGCAGAAAAGAAACCAAAGCTGCATCCACCTCTCCATGGGGCTCACCAAAGATGGACTTTGGGATACAACCCTTCTCTTCCTCCTCTGAATCTGTGCTATGCTGAGGCCACAGAGGGGAGAAAGGTGCTCTTGTATCTACAAGCAAGGTTCATGTTTGAAAAGGGCATAGGGCAGATGTTGGCAGGGCAGAGCAGCACACACTCCCTGCCATGAGCCTGCCAGCTCTAGGACATGTAAGAACACAGATATGGGGCTCCCTGGCCCAGCACTACAACACAGTTCCCTTCCAGGCTCAGGCTTTGTCATCACCTCACATCCATCCAACAGCTCAGAGTACAAAGGAAATAAGCTATCCAGGGAACAAAATAACACTACCAAAATTTGGCTAATAGCAGACACCTAGAAGTTCTGGAAGCTCATGAAAGATTTCTACTATATTTGGCAGGGCTCTATACCCAGTGGTACACCCATGGGGAACATGGTAGGTGCTGCACTGGAACCACAGGGCACAAGGGAGAGCCCCTTCTCTGTGCACCTCTTACAGGCCCAGCAGGATGCTGAGGGTGGCCTTCTCCTAAATGGGAGAGGGCTTCCAGAAAAGCTGTTAACACCCAGTTCTGTGAAGGATCTGTCTGTTTCCTATTCTAGTGTTAAATTAGCTCAGCCCTAATTAGCATGACATCTATGACAGGATTAAAGCAGATTCAGCATTCCTCTTCCTGCCTAGGGCCACCAGCTGCCAAACACTCCTCCAGGTCAGCATCCTGCTCAGGACAGTGGCTAGCTTCAAGAGAAGCAGCAAGCAAGCTCCTTTCTAACTCTGTCTGTCAGAGGCAGGATTTGGCCTTGAAGCAGGAAGGTTTGTTTGCTTTAAATCTTATTTAACCATGGATGTTTTCATTATTCACATCCATGTCACACTCTTATGTACCCTTAGGAGGACAAGGAGAAAAGCTCTTGCTTTCCTCAGTCCATCTGCAGAGCAGACAGCTTTGATTAGCCACGTGCCTGTTGCCTTTCAATCCCAGCTGCCTGTCACTTTGACCTTATTCAACTAGACAAAGGGATCAGGAGGAGCTGTGTGTTTCCTCA